GTAATAAGAATAGGTTCTTTCATAATTGATATAAATATATAAATTATATGAAAAAATTAATGTTAATTATAATCTAAATATAATATGCAAGGTTTTGTAAAAGATGGATAAATTTTGAAATTATGTTAAACAAAGCATAATGAGAATAGACGAAACAGTTATGAAACTAAAATGCCACCTTTTTCAGATGATTTTAATAATGTTTGCAGAATTGGACCAAAAATTTAGAATGGTTCACAAACCCAAAGAATTCATTCTTTAAAGAATCTTTAAAAGAGAACATAGTTTGTAAAATAATTGTTTACATAAGATACTAACACCGCATAAAAAAAAAAGAATATTTGTTCTTCCTTGTCAATTACCAACAATTGGATGTAACGAGAAGAAAGCAAGGATTAGTCTTAAATTTCCACCTTAGAGGATAAAAAAAATCTTTTGAGAATTATATTTAAATATTTCTTATTATAATTTTTTTAAGAAAAATCTCCAATACGAATATAATTTAATATGCTGTTGATATAAATAACAATAATATAACCTTTTGTAGAAAAAGGTATTATTAGTTTTAGAATTTATATCAAATTTCAATTATATCGTAAACTTTTATAAAATATTGTGATTCTTCTTATGATAACTTCAAATAAATGAACTTATCAACCTTATGCGGTTAAGCATATACACATTAAAATTAGGTTTTAGGATAAAAGAAAGATATGATAAAATCCCTACATTCAAACTTAGAATTGTATTGAATTTTGATAAAAAAATTTATTTTAGAATGTTTTGCTATCAGGGAATTTAAAGTAAAAAGCTTAGTATTTATTTTGGCAATGCCTCCATTCAAGTTCCTAGACTCAAATCTTTAGTTTCAGAAAATGTACATAATTAAGCGAAAATACAGTTATACTAGATAAGATTTTATAAAATAGTCTCCATTAAATAATTAGGAATTTTAAATTATCCGATCATTAAATTAATTTGTATTAGGAAGTCTAAAACTTTAGAAGTTAAGAGATAATAAATGATCTATCATTCTTTCTATTAATAATCATTCAATCATTGTCTTCTGCCCTAGGATGAATTAAAAATATCACATATGAATATTCGTAAAAATTATTGAGTAGTTATTAAATAAAAGTAATTCTTTAAAATTGAATATATAACATCAATAGGATTCAGAACAAGTAATATTTCCATTTTTTAATTTCAGTGTAAATTCAAAAAATCTAAATATCATGATCTCAAAAAGCAGACTTAAATTTTATATTTAAATATTAACATTGATTATCTTATTATGATATTATTTTCTTACACTAAATGAATATTAGTTTATAGTAAATTTATTTATTAATCAAAACATAAATAAATGTTTGATAGACAAAATCATTTATATTTATTACAGAACGATATCTAATTTCAATTGATTATTTACTTGGCTGTTGTCCTCCATATTTAATGAACAAATTTGAATATTTATCTTAAGTACTCATTTTAATATTTTCTAAAAAAGGCATCAATTTGATAATATAATTAAGAAGAGAAATTCTAATACATTCCTAATGTCATAATTATTAAAAGTATAAAAGAATCAAATCACTATCCCTAAATTAAACTTCCCAACTATTTTTTAAGTTGTTCTTAAAGATATGCAAGCAGATGAACAAGACTGTACTTTTTACTTAAATAATAGAAGTTGTTTAAAGTAACTGCGAAAATTGTTAGTAGCTTAAAGACAAGAAAATATCATCAGATTTTTATCAATTATTAGATTAAAACTAACATCCAAAGTATTATTTCAGAATATTAGTATAGTTCCAAATAATATGCTGAATTTTCATAAGAAGGGGTAATTAATATCTTGATTTACTCAAATATAGATGAAGAATGCAAAGAATTTTTAGAAAAGCTCATTATAAAGTTAAGCAAAGAAAAGTGTAATATTTTCATAGAAGATCAATCGCTAGATTAAAATTAACAATTCCTAAATAAATCAAAATTTATACTAAAATTAAACTAATTATACTTTATTTCTTTAATAATTATATTAGGAGGTGATGAAGATATTTTACGAATTTTAAAATAACTATAAACTTAAAATATCCCACCAATTCTTACATTTCAAGTAGAAGCAAATACCTTTTCTTGTGAGTTTGAAAAAAATAATATGGATAAAATATTAGAAGATCAAATTCATCATTTTCGAATACATAATAAATTTAATACTAAAAGAAAAATTAGAATTGAAGGAATTTTAAAATAAGGAAATCTAATAAAATTTTAATATCATGCTTTAAATGAGTTTGTTATTTCTGGAGAATCGAATACGAATTTTTTATTTATAGAAATATATATCAACAACAACTTATTAACAATATCATCAGGAGATGGGATCATTATTTCTACTCCTACAGGATCCCCTGCTTATTTTTTATCTGCAGGAGGACCTATCATATAAAGTGATGTTCATTCAATCTCTATAGTCCCAATTTGTCCATTATCATTATCTTTTAGGCCAATCATATTACCTCCTTGTATAAATATTACAATAAAATTATCAAATATAAGTAGATCCAATGGAGTCATTAGTGCTGATGGTTAATAAACATTTGAATTCAGTAAGGATATGATATTTGAGATAAAGAACTCTTCTTATGGAATTGATTGTAAATTATCTATTAAATCTAGTAATTGAAAAAGACTAAACAAATTATAGTGATTGGATAAATAGTTTAAGAACTAAGTTATTTTGGAATACAATGATTACAGAATGAAAATACAAACTGAAGAGAAATTAGTGAAAATTCTCAAATATATATATTAATCAACTCAACCAAACATGATTTAATACCCATTCAATGGATTTTCTGTTTTTTTTATCAGTCAATAATCCCTTCATCAGATCTTTAACATCCCCTGATAAATAGTCTGGGAATTATAAAGTAAAGCCCTCTTGAACTTAAAAAGGAGTTCTTCCTGTGGTTAATTCAAAGGTAAGTACTCCTAAAGACCATAGATCAATAGAATTATCATATTATTATCCAAAGACCATTTCAGGTGAAAGATAATCTATGGTACCACATAATGTATCTCTTTCTTTTTTATCTTATACTGACCAACCAAAATCACTGATTTTAATTTAGCCATTACACCATAAAATATTTTCAGGTTTTAAATCTCTATGGATGATGGATTATTGTTGCATTTATTAAATTGCACATGCAACTTATTTAATAATATTTGATGCTGCTGGTTCTGAATATCTTCTATTATTTTGTTTCATTAATGATTAAAAGAGAGTACCCCCAGTAGCATATTCTAATACGAGACAATAATTATTAGTTGTTTCAAAAAATTCGACTAACTGAATAATATTTTGATGTTTCAACATTTATTAAATAGCAACTTCTCTATGTAATTAATGTAGCATTTAATTCTTTTTTAAATATAGTTTATCTATCATTTTGATTGCATATAATTTTTTAGTTTAATTGAGTAAACATTTATAAACTTTACCAAATTTGCCTGATCCGATTTATTCTAAGACCTAATAATATTCTAGTTTATTTTTAGGAACGCTTGAATTAAAGTTTTTATTATGAATATTTTAATTAGGATTTCGAGATATACTAGTAATTTATGTTTTAACTCTTTTTTACATTTGATTATTCGAGTTTGGACTGCAAGCTTTTCTTATTGGTTTATTATTAGAATTTTAAGTAATTTATTTAAGTATTTCTGAAAATTGGTTTGAAGTATTAGAGAAGTATTTACTTGGACTTGTTGTTGTGGCGTTTGCAGAATTCTATCGTTTCATTTTATTATTAAAATTTTATATTAATAATGTTTTGTTGTTTAGGAAGGAAAAAACGGGACAATAATGAAATGGAAAAAAAAAATTCAAAAAAAGAAATGGTAGAAAGATTCATATTGCAGAATTGTAAATCTAATGATGAGGTATTATGTCATTTTGAAAACAAGGATTCTTTTGATGAATCTATTGATAAAAGCAATATGATTATAATTGATTATGATAATAATTAATATGAAAAGAAACCATGGTCAGGAATATAATGGCAAATGATTATATAAACGAAGAATTTGAATCAAATTGAATTGTAAATTTGAGTCACTAATTTGAGAGATGAATTAAAAAGAAATATAAGATTTGGGATTCTATGTAATTTAAGACCAGCCACTTGGTTTTGGATAACAGACATAAAAAATACACAAATGAAAAAACATACATCAAACATTTATTAAAAATTGAAGTCTTGCGAGTCTCAATATGACTCATAAATATTTAAGTGTATTAAACAATTAGATAAAAAAGTATTATATTCGATTTAAATTCAAGTACAATGATTTAGTTTTTGATATCTTAAGAGCATATGCTAATTATGATGTTGAAATTGGATTTATAAAAGGAATTGATCAAATTATTGAATATTTAGTATAATAATTGGATCCAGAATAATATATCAATCTTGATTACTCTTTTAATTAATTTAATAGAATGTGTGATTTTTATGAATAGATGGTATTTTGGATGACTATTCATATATTATTCCATTTGAATTACAGAAGAATTTTAAAATAAAATGTAAGTTTTATAGAAACAGAAAAGTTTTCAAATACACTTATGCCTTCTATTAATTCTTTGATTTAGTAACTTAATGTTAAAATAAGTGAATTAATTGAAGTTCCATTGTTATTTTTCTTTTAAAAATAATTAAAAAAAGAAGATTTTAATAGATTATTTGATGTATTTCTTTTTGAAGGAGAATGTATAATTATTATTTAATATTTAGCAATTTTATTGTAAATTTTATTGAAATTTTTAAAAATATCAGAAGATTTAGTCTGTTAATTTTAAGCAGAAGCAGATCTAAAAATATTCTTAAATTAAACTTTAATTCCATATGGTATATCAAAGATAGAAAAGATTAATTAAAAATTAATGAATTTTCTATTATGAATTATGATTATCTTAATTTAATAATTCATTTAAATGCTCCAATTCCTGTTATTTCTCTGCCTGCAACCAAACTATTAATATCATAAGTTCCCTAAAATAAAATATTAAATTCACCTCATATGTATAAAGTACTTCTGCATCTGTTAATGCTTTAATAACATAATTATCAGAAATGATTCCATCACCACCAAGCATTTCTCTTCCAAGTCTTGCTACTTCTCTTGTTTTATCAGTTACCCAAGCCTTAACACTAGAGATCATACCTATAGTAGCTTTGCCTTCAGCAGCCAATCTTGATAATCTCAATACCATTAAAAATGATGCTTAGAAAGTTGACAATATTCTCACCAATCTTTCTTATTATAATTAAAATGATGCTAAATATTTTCCAAATTGTTTTCTTGTTGTTGTCCATTTTAATGAATGTTCATATACACCTCTCATAACTCCTAAGGCTATCCATGGAACAATTACTCTTGAATGCATAAGTACTTAATTAGGTCCATTTTAAAAATCAGTCACTGATTCTAATTTATTTTCATCAGGTATAAATATATTTGTAAATGTGATTTAACAATTTTAAACTATTCTTAATGCTAATTTGCCTTGAATAACTTCTGCATGATATCCAGGCCATTTTGTTTCAACAATGAATCCTTCTACTTTATTTGTGTCTAAATTTCTTGCCCATACTATCAATACATCTTTATTTCCATTGCCAATCCATCTTTTATCACCATTTAAAATATAACCTCCTTAAACCTTTTTTACATTTGAAGTTAGACTAGAAGCATCAGATCCATATCCTTTTTCTGTTAATCCCCATCCACCTATATATTCAATATCTCTTGTTTTTGTTAAATACTTTTGCTTTTAAGCTTCGCTTCCAAACTTTTCTAATGTATAATTTAATAACAAATTTCTAATATCTAAATAAAGTCTTACTAAACTGCAATAAAAGTAGCAAAACCTGCATCTGCTCTTGCTGCTTCCATTAAAATTATTCCTTATTTAGTATAAGAAGTTCCATGACCATATGGCTTATTTAAAAAGTGATGGAATAATTTTAATGGTTTTACAGCATTAACTATTTCTGTGGGAAATTAAGCAGCTTCAACATAATCATTTATTTTTGGAGTAACCTAAATAATTTATATATTCTTTAACTTCTTTGGCAACAAATGCTTCAACCGCCTTTCGAACTTCCAATTCTTCAGGTGTCAATAAATCATATAATGACAAATATTCCATTGGATCAATTTAAGCCTTCTTTTCTTTTACCTAACCTGCCAACTAATTTAGTCTTATCATTTAATAATAATATCATAACATAATTTTATATGTTTCAAGATCTGCAGAAATATGTCGTCATATTTTATATTAATACCAACTTTCCTTTAATTAAATAATAATTTTTTTTTATTAAACAACATAGAATTATTCGATTATAATATTATTATTTTTCATCTAAGTTTTATTACACTAATTGTATGAATATTTACACCATATTAGTAATACTATTTTCATTCAATTACAATGACATTTGTTTAATAGATAATTAATTCATAAATATTTGAGTTTATTATCTTGATCATTCAAATTGAGATTAATTCTATGTATAATTGATATTTTCATTGGATAAGATGGTATAAGATGCGAGATTAAGTATTCAGTATTAAATCCATCAAATAATCTCTGGAATTGTATTATTTATATAGTTAATTAAATCTTTTGTTATAAAGATGGACTTGCTAAAAGGCGGATTTTAGAATGAGAATTCAGATGGAGATAGCTTAAGATAATCTTGGACTACTGAAGATAGTCTAAGTAGAACTTCAAGCTATGATGCAGCTGAAGAGGTTAATGATCTAGAGGAAAGAATCTGTCAATACTTAAATGATTTAAATATTTAATCCTTCACAAATCCTACTCTCAAAGAGGAAATGTACAACCTTTCATTGAAACAAAAATTAGTAATATATTTTAATATTTCTGTAGTTTTCAAAAACTATCTCATTATCTAACACAAATAACAGTACTCTCATGAAAAAACGTTCGCTACTCTTTGCTGACTGAATATTGCCATTTTTCCAATACTAATCACTTTATTTCTATTTAAATATATTATTTTAAGCAAATTCTTATTTCTTTTCTGATAAAACCATTCCTGATACTTTAAAATTCACATAATATAAATTTATATATGAATGTGAAATGTATACTTGAATTCATAAATGTTATTTTTGAATTATTGTTATGTTTTTTAGATGATAACATAGATGACGACTTTTCTAAAAAATTATATAATCACAATTATAGCAAACATTTTACAATAAATTAATCTAATTCTCGCAAACAACTATTTTTAACTACAAAATAAACTTTGTTTCTATACAAATTAAATAATAATCCATAGAGTTTATATCTTAATCAGAAAAAATAAATTTATTTATTGAGAATTCTTCAATTATTATCAATTATACGATATATATCTAGAAAATTCATTAAATTTTAGAAGGAAATGATAATATATTTAGAAAAGTAATGTTTATATGTTTATAATAGTTATATTATAAAAGTAAGCAATATTCTAATATATTAATATATAAGTATTCTTATTAATCTATATCTATTACTTACTAGAAGATTAATTAAACATATTAAAATTTCTATTGAAAAATTCAATTTATCATCATATCAAAAATACTATAATAATTTAAATATACTTCCAAACTTTCAGCTGCCTTTTCAATTTTGTTATATTCAAAAGCAAATTTATCAATTTAAATTATCTTCAAGGTTCTTTTTGATAAACCTTATTATTATAATAATATTATTAATAAGTGTAAATAAAAATGGAAGTTTTTATATTTGGTAATTACAAAGGAGATTATGTAATTAAATTATTAAGTTTTGGCATCAATTTAAAGTATTGATTAGTAGTTATAAAATGTAAATATTATTAGAATTAAAAGAGACAATTTATCTATTCTTTGCATGATTTGAAAAAAAATGTATTAAATTGTTAATTTTTTTTAATTATATGTTAAGGGTAAGGTCATAAATTTATTTTTTAATAATTGAATACAATCTATTATACATATGCTAAAGTAATCTTAATTCTTATATTAAGTTACAGAGGCTATTATAAAATAATAAAATTTATCTTTGAGAAGAATTAAAATGTTGCCACAATAGAAATTTAAATGAAAATTGTATTAAATATGGTAATAAAAAAATTATATTGATGATTAGTAGATCATTCTTCTTCCCATGGTCCTAATTTTGTTTCACGCATTGATATATTAATTTTATTTTATGAGTTTGAATATCTTCTTGATTATTATACTGAATATGACTTCTTCTCTCTACATGAGATAATTGGTTAATTACTTGGCTTTACAGCCGGCAATGACCTTCTAATTATTAAACTTTTATAAACAGCTGGTTGATTAAGATTAACTTTTTTAAGTTACCTTTGTGATTATTATTATAATATCAAACTTAATAATTATAATGATTTTTTGCAAGCCATAATAGATTTGCTCTTATTGATTACTTCTTTCGAGATTGTTTATTGATTGTTGTTATTTTCGAAAAGTTTACAAAGTGGTTTATTATTTGTTTCTGGATATATAACATTTTATAAATGAATCTGATGTTATTATCTATGAATTTAAAATTTATTTGTCTTTTTTGAGTTTTTCATAATCCAATTAAAAAATAATATTATATATTATTAATATTAAACTTATTAGTATTAGATGAATAGAAATTACCTGACTTAAGAAACCAAATCTAATATAAGAATCAATTTATTTAAGAATCACAATCATATATTTAAATAGATATTAAAGTTTTCTTTGTAATAGCCTTAATCATTCAAAAAATTCAAAACATAAAACTATAAATTTAATAAATTATTGTCTTAATGATCATCAAATTTAATGAATTTCATCATCTTTTGTTATCTATTGTCTTTATTAGGGTTGTTTTGCATACATGTAATCTTTTTTTCCTTTTTAAAATCATAAATAAATAAGAATAATAAAAATAATGAATTTAATAGTTTATAATCTAATGAGATGATTGCATATAATAATTAGGTAGAGTAATACAAAAACAATTTAATTATTTAATTAAAGTTTATCATCAGAATAATATTGTTCCTCAATAATACTGTAGTTTATTAAAGGTATTTTAAGTAAAATAATATCTATTAAATTAATTTTTTTAAAGCTAAAAAAATGATTGTTTTAAGAAAATTACAATATAGTATTTAGGTTGTAATTATTAAAAATATTTAATAATAATGTTTGAATGTAAATAAAGAATAATAAGTTGATTGTTGAAATAACAGTACCTAAAAATTATGTATTTCCATCCTTTCGATAATTTTATGATTTCTTTAAATATTTGTTGAAAATTTTGAAGAAATTAATATATCAAATTAATTATTATCACAAGTTTTGCAAAGCCAACATTTTATATGATATAATTCTGTTTTGAAATAATTGGATTAATTATGCATTTATTAATATAAAATACTTTAAACAAAGTAGAGTCTTGACTTAAGATTATTTTTATGAAAAAATTCTGTAATTATTTGTTTAAAGTTCGGAGTATGAAAAAAAATTCAAAAACAAAAGCATTTTGTTTAGTTGGTACAGGATTGCTATAAATTTACTGTGGTGTTTTTAGTTTGTAAAATTTGAGATTATTTTAAGAGAAATGGAATATAGGGAATAAGAAGATTAGAATTAAAGATAAGGTAGAGTGGATTAGTATTTATAAATCCCAACTTACATAGATATTGAGAAATTGTGTCAACAAAGTACAATAATATTAACAACGATATTAATCATGGGATTTTGTTTTCCATTAACATATTTCATTTTGGGAGTTATGAGTAACAAGAAAGAAAGAAATGAGAAAAATCAATCGACTTGTTTAAAAGTAAAAATTAATGTTTGCATATAGCTTTATACTTAATTAATCGATATATATTACTGGTGCTTATTCTAACCATTAATATAAGCTCAACTAGAAGTTATACTACTAAATAATTAGATTTTGAATTGGGATTAAATGTTAGAAGAAAATTATACGAATGTTGCTTTGTTATTTGCACTATCGTTATTTGGGTTATTTGTAAATACAATAATGATTATTTCAATATTGCTATTTTTTTATTAAAATATCAACTTTAGAATAGATTTCTTAAGTTGCAGTAATAAGTAGATAATGTTGAATATTTGTATATTGAAAATAATAATAGCTATATTCAATAGTATTCATATTTAATCTACTTCTCATTATGTAAAATAATTAAGAAATATTAGGTATCATATTTGGTTATTTTAATATTATTTGTTTTAAAATTATTGGAAAACTAATTTTTTGGAAAGGAGAGACCATCATTTTATTATTATAGGTTAAATTAATTTTATTAACATTTAATGTTTAGTTTATTGGGTGTTTTGTTAATATTTTTAATAGAACTATTGGTTTTACATTTAAATTATGAAGTTAATGATTTCTTATGCATAATAATAGTAATAATATTTTTGAATATTTTGGGAAACATTTTCTAAAATAAAATAATATTATTTTATTTAATGTAAGATAGAATATCAAGTTAATTAATTTTGAATAAAATTTATTATTTATATTAATTAAATACTTCATCAGTAGATAAGAAATATATAATAATAGGATTAATAGAGAAACATTTAAAAAAAGGATGTATTTCTAAATTGGAAAGGAAATAATAGAATTAAGATTAATAAAGTGATCCTTTAATTGATAATAATTCAATAGGATATTGTTTTTGTTAATAACATTAATTTTATGATGCTAGAAGAAAAGTATTTGTAAATAGTTAAAAATCAAAAGTATAATAAAATTATAAATCATTCTTCAGATTTGAGATTTAATCATTATATGAACAATGTTTAATTTAGAATAAAGATAATCATTATATAAGATTTTTATATGCTAGACATTTATTTTTTTCAATTTAAAATAAATCATAAGCTTTATTGTAAATGTCAATTTTAAAATAAAAATTTAATAAATTATCTTTTTTTGAGAAAATAGATTTTCATTTATTATTAATGATGATGGAAAATAAAATAAAGATTTAGAATTCAAATAGTTATCGTAATTATCTAGATTTTGAATATGTAATAGAGATAGAAATGATTGTAAAGAAAATTAAAATTAAGATAGTAGATTTAATTTAAAATTATTTGAAATATTGGAATACAATTAATTTAGAAAAGATTGATGAATCTGATTTACTTAAATTA